CCCCAAATGTTATCAATCCCTATGTGCTTTCACCCTTGATACTCAGCCCACTTGTTCTATGCCCTGATGTGATATCACCCATGGTTCTGGGTGGTTCTATACTTTCACCGGGTGTACTTTCACCTTCAGTGCTTTCAAAGAGTTATTTAATGGTTTCGGTTCTTTCTCCCTCATTGTTATCATAGCTCTCTAATAATTGTAGTGATGTAAATATGATGCAGGTTTATTAGCTATAAAGATTATGTCAAAGAGACTTGATGAAGCAGTGCATTATCTGGAGATAACTAAACTCGGGCATAAAGGATAGTCAGTGTAATTACGAGATGTTTTGAAAAGAGTTGAGAAGCTTTAACTCTATTAACTGGCCCGTTTACAATAGTGCAGCCTTTGAACGCTGAAGTGTTCAAAGGCTGGTTAATACAGTAGTGGTTTTGATAAAAATTCGCTCCGCAAGCGTCTGCTAACTTTTCAGAATTTTATGCGTCTTAGGGTGACGGTTATCCCATAGGGCAAAGTCTCATATTTGGTTGGCGTGGGAAGAGATGTAGGATTTTCCATTGAATTCATATTAAACGCAATTCTTTAGCGGCACTGCATCTCTCTTTTTTCGTCCTCAAAAATCTCATTCTTCTTTTCGACTTTTTAAATTTTTATGGACGTCGGTAGCAACACGAAAATTTTTGAAAGTTCAAGCTCTTCAGTAACGCAAGTTAGAGAAACGATATAAATTGTTCAAAAAATTACAAAAATGTAGTTATCTTTGATGTCAAAGTTCATCGATTTACCAGTCTTTAATGGCGAGAAAAGAATAGGCTAATTCGACCTCTCCTATAAAGGGTTTGAAAGGGGAGCCACGAGCAGAAAAAGCTCGCGGGGAGTAGGAAAGAGCTGGTCAGAAGAGAACAGATCTTCCCGTATCGACCGAAGAGCATCAAATACTGACCGAGGCTCATCGGGCGGGTGAAATGGGAGGAGATCCCTCGATATCGAGTTATAGTTCGCAGTTCTCGTATATTGTTGGCTCAAGAGTGTGTTGTGTAGTGTTATTGTTTTTGTAGTTAGGATGAACACCTTTTCATCGTTTTTTGCGCAGGTCTTTCAGTCATAAGGTAGAACCCATTCAATACCACTAGACACTCTCCCTGTTATAATCATTGTATTTTATTTGTAACATGTGCATATAAAAAATTCACAACATTCCGCTTAGATAGGTAAACCTCAACGCTAGCTGAGAATTTGCATACGAGAAATGTGCTGACTGTGACACGTGTAATGCCAGCAAACTGTTGCTGTGCATATGGGCAGAAGTTCCAAGAAAGTGCATTCATGTGTGCTGTGAACAAGTGCACTTTGATGAAAGTGAAAATGACTAGGCGGCATTGTGAATGCGGATGTGATTTTATTGCAAGCTATGATGAATTCAGTGTTGAGAGGGAAATTAGCTATGTAAGCTCACTATCATGTGCAAAAGTCCTGCCACGCTTTTCGTAGACATCGAAAAACTCGACTGTTGGAAATTGAATCTCCTAAACGCCATAATAATTATGTTACGCTTATCACGCGAAGGTGCGAAAATATCGAATCGAAACTCGATTAGAGTCGAAACACGAAGAAATCGAAAATCAGAGGAATGTTTGATAGCAAATGCGATCTTAGACTGGTAAATTCGAAGATTACATTAGTAAAATAGAGTATATGAGTTAAATTGGAATCAGAAAATAGTACAAACTTTGCCCATTGAGTCAGTAGGTACTGAAACTTTCACAACTCACCGCAAGAATTTTCTGCAGAAACATTAGAAAGCCCCACTGAACGCTTTTTAGGTGGCAAAAAATTTTTTTCTTTTTTATTCATAGCTAAGGTTTCGAACTCAGATGTTTCAGGTCCAGCACAGTACAGAGGGAATCATCGATACGATTGTAAGGGTTACAATGGCAGGTGATGTTTATACTGAGAATTTCTCAATTCATGATTTTTTGAAGTTATATTTGATTATTTGTAGCTCAAGCTCTAGACCATTAGCTATGTGTAGAGCGAACTCACTCTTTTGCGTGATGCCTTGGAAATTTAGCAAAAAGGATTAGTTGTCCTTTCAAGAGACCCCCAAATTGAGCAAAAGCTTTGCATAAACGAGATCATACATTAGCCGAGAAAGAAAACCACCTGAGGTTTGATTTTTGGAAAGAAATGAAAAATTCCAAAAGTTGCCATTAATTTCGGAACATATAGGGTTTTAGGATCTCTTACCCTAACTGGGCGTTCGTGGATAAAGAACCAAAATAATGGGAAAATAGGAAACGATGCAATAAAATTTTGGGCAGCTATGAGTTTTATAACTTACAGGGGAAGGATACTTGGATGCCGTAGTAATTCATAATGATTTGTATACCAAAAAATGCGCTTTTGAATGCTGGTTCGTAGACTGTTTTTCATATCTGCGAAACGCTAATCTGAATGGAGTTATGATTTTTTTCATTAAAAAAATTGCGTTCCTGCGGAGGGCAAAATCATCAATAAAAAAATTTTCTTTCCTTTCCAAATGCTGAGTATGATCCAGATAGTCTAACTAAATATTACTACGTCTAAGATTTTCTTCAGTAGCATCAAACGGTAGGCTAGATCAAATCTGGTGATTTTTACTATCCAAAAGTAGGCTAAATTTTCAAGGGAAAAAGTTCATAACTTTCTTCAAAAGATCGTTTCGCAGATTTCGAGCACAGATTCAGAATCTGCATTCGAAGGCGCATTTTTTGGTATACAAATCATCAGGAATGGCCGCGGCATCCAACTATCCTTCCCTTGTTAGTTTTCAATGAGAAAAATAAAGAGTATATCTAGTACTTTCTTGAATTTTTCGAAAATGGTGCAACAAAACTTTTGTGCCAACCTAATAAAACGAAGGATTGGTAGAGTTAATAGCCAGTAATCTGTGCTTTTCAAGACCCTTCATTTTCGAAGCGTAAATCTAACTTTGAAGTTTTTGTCGTCTCACGTCTTAAACAACGGCTATAAATACAAACTATGAGCCATGCAAGGAATGCAAAATCCCGAAAACCTTAATCCTCATGATTAATTGCGTGCCTTTGTTATTATACCCGATCAAGATGATTTCGGATTATGATGTGTCGGGAATGAGTTCACATCTCTCGAAACGTAAACTATCACTTGCACTGATATACGAACAATAATTGCGCTAACGCCTGTCACATTCTCTTAATTTCATTGATTCTCGGCTAAATTTATAATGTGTACTTTATTTTTGTCACAGAAATGCATATTCACATCTTTTTAGCTTAACACCATACCTTTACCTTCTTTTTACCTCTTTTTACCTTAAAACATTCCTCCGAAATTCGCACAACTTTATCCGTTCAGAATTGTTTTATTATGGCTGTAATAAATCACTTATTAATCGCAACTCTCTTGCTGATCATGATCCATATCGGTGAGTTCCATACTCTATAAGAATTTTTCTTGCTTTGGACACAAGATAGTAAAATTTCAATATGGATCGGCGTAGTGTATACAAATTATTTCACAGCTAATATTCTAATTTCTAAGAGCTATGCCTCGAAAAAATTATCGTGATAATGTCTTCAAATTAATTATTGTTATTTTATGTTTCTTATTATAAATGGTGCCTCCATGTGCGTAAGAAGATTGGCAATTCAAGCAAAAACCTTTTGATAATAAGATGACCACGATAAGATACTAATAAGATAAGGGACTGACTCAAATCAATTCAGAACTTTTCATGTAACAAAATTTCAGGTGTGAGCCGAGCAACAACTCAACGCACTTTCGACAAAGTTAGACTAGACAAAGAAGGTTTTGACAAAGTTCGAACTATCCATTACAACTGGTATTTGCATTCTATCAAAGCGATCATGGGACAGCTAGGAAAAGATTTGTTGCCAAAATTGGACAAAAGTACAGGCAGAAGTGATTTTTACAATTATGAATAAGTTTGTTTTGTTTTACAGACAATCGCCGGCAGTTCCTAAGTTGTTTGAATGCGATTACTGACAAAAGAGATGTCGTAAATGCTGCAAAATGTTTGATTGAAGCAAAGGAAAGCCACGAGGAGAAGAATGTGAAGTACGTGAATGAGAAAAAGGAAAGGTCATCCCTTACTTAACCTTACTTTCATCCGATCGGCATTCAGATCTTCTTCGCTGGAAAAATTGCCTGCTATAGATGGAAATCATGGATGGAAAAATTTCATAAAGTCGCTTTCTGTAATGTTCAAAAGAAAAAGGTGAATATTTCTTCAATAAATTTAAAGTTTTATGGAATCGCTCATTTTATTTTAGCCCTCTTTATACCAATAAATCGTCGATGTCTAAGATTTCATCCTCATCTGTCAATGACCCTCCAAGATTTTTGATCTTTTCGAAGAAAAATCATAAAAGAAAATATAAAAGCTTCTTGCAGAAAATCCACAAGGTAAGCTCGCCCACGGAAGTTCCGAAAGTCATTTAGCTTTTTTTCAAGAGACGTCTAGAATCTGCCGAACAAAAGTTGCGACGTTACCGACCGCGACGCGTGAAAAGAAGTCCGCATCGTCTCGTGATAGATAAAATCAGCAAAAGTGATACAAATGGATTTCAGGCAAGTTCAGCCCTGAAAGCGTCTAGGCAAAGCCGGGTACTTGGGTTTTTTTATTTGAAGAATGGCTAGGAATTTCAGTTAAATTTTCAAGCAGCATCGCTCATGATTTATTCTTGGCAGAAAGATCCAACAAACTCGCTCGGACCGTATTCTCTACCTTAAACAAAAACGCTGGTTGCTCCTTTCAGAAAGATTATGGTCCGGGCAAGAGTATAGAGATGAATTTCCCACCTATGAATTCATACACGCTGCTTTTTTAATAAATTAGTTGATGTCTCCTGATAAATGTCCAAAAAAGAAAGTCCGGATACCCAGATTTGATTGGGCAATCTTTGAATTTTTCTGGGGTTACTGACAATGAGTGTCGTAGCATTTTCGAGGTGGTCAGTATGGATCATGCCCCGTCACTGTTGCCTCGTTCGGAGAAGTCAGCTGTCAGACGTCTAGCTCGGTTGGTGAGAGCTGCCGTCCGTCCGGATGAGGAGGAAAACACCATCGACTCAAAGAAGTTGACTATTTGTCATATTTGTTTCTCCCTAAATAAATCACTTCTAGAAAATCAAAATGGAACGAGAGCTATGAGAGCTTGTTGAAAATCAAAAAGGCGCTAGACGAAAAAGCCAAGCAACCAGGAGCGAGGGTGACCATACATAGTACTTTCGATGTAACCATTCTATGCTGTCATTACAGGTCTACGATTTTCGTATGTTTGATCTAGTGCTAGGGAATTCGAAACCGACAAGGGCTAGGAAAGAAAAGGTAGGTTTTTCTTGAAGTCGCATTGTTCACAAATTTTGCTAGCCTCGAAGATGATTAATTTACAAGGTCACAGACAGCTGAGTTTTGGGGGTGAGTGGGGGGGGGGGGGGGGGAGGGGAGAGCAGCTTCTTTTTATAATTACAAGACATCGATAGATAAATTTTATCGCTCCTTGTTCAACGTGGCTGCACTGTCTTCACTTCAGAGTATAACGCCACCATTAGTACAGCAAGCTTACAACTTGATACGAAGTTTTGAGGGGAAGTCAAAAGAATTCGGCGAATCGGCGAACATCAAGTTTTTGAGGTGAGGAACAAAATTACAAAGTTTTTCTTCAAATTCAGTTTTCCCTCTATTATTTTCAAAATAGGAAACTGACTTTACCTCAAAGCTGGAAAATACACTAATTCATTTGTTTGTCGATTTTTTCTGTCATTGGCAAGATGAAATATGATAAATCATTCTTCTAGCCCTCGGTTCGCTCCGATAATGCCGGACAAAGCGGACATTAAGGGCTCCTTGTCTCCCTCAATCTTTTCTTTTTACAAAGACGACACGGAAGATCAATTACTACCACTTCCTAAGGTAATAATCATTATCTTATTGAAAACTATCCCAACTAAGATGATTAAAAATAACTTTGTTGTCAGACAGGAATTACGCTTTATTCCATGTTCATGATTGGATTTTTTTCTGATATTTTTCTAGTCTTCTAGGTTTTTCTAGTTTGTTCCAATTATTTTCGTTTATTTTCTGACTAAAGGAGTTTCATTTTTTATGATGGCTATTTGATCACCATCTAATATCGAGATCGTTTCAGCTCCTTGACGCCACTGGAATGACGGAAGAAGATCGAGGAGAGGTGCTCGAGACCGTTATGGAAGTGACAGGAGCGCGACAGATCGTGGACGACGCCATGAAGGTGCATTTTCTGGCTTTCCATTTTTCTACAAAATTTGAAAACCTGCTTCAGACTTTGTCGAGCACAGAATTGTTTGGAATGCAAGGCGAGATAAAAGAAGTCACTGAGAGGATAGCAAAAATATTCACAAATTTGGAGAGCACTTTTAATCGGAGGCAGAAAAAGGACATGGATAAACGAGGCTTTACATTCTTGGAGACGAATCAGTTAGAAGAGCTGCACAAGGAACAAGGTAATACAACAATTATATCTATACTATACTTTTTAGCATTTTTCCGATCCAAATTTATCATTACTGGCAGAAAAAGCCGTTTTCCAAAAAAGACCTACAACTATCAAACGCGCAAATCCCCTTTTCACATTACATTTTTACGTATTTCGAAGGCATTGGATACTTGGTGGAAGGAAAGTGCTTGAATGCACTTACGATAGGGGAGTCCTGAGCGGAACGACTTTGTTTTTTCGTTGAGGTCACGCTTCATTTTCGTAAACAACCACCGCGAATGACCTTCCATAGGATACTCAAAAGAATCGAAAATTTTTTTTGGCAGTCGCGCCCTTGGGTGCTTTTTTATGGCTTTTGTTTGGAGATTCTACCAAAAATGTTAGTACACCGCATCAGCAAGAATTCGCAGTTAGAAATTTGCTGTAAAAACCATAACTTCGAGCTTTGGGTTCGTTATATCTTACTTTCAATAAGTTTGTATTTAGAAAAAATGATTAGATTTATAATTAGAAAAATTGTACTATACTAAATTTACTCCACAAATGTCATTGATTTCGTATCTATCAAACAGGTCTCGCCAAACACGCGTCCGAAATAGAATTCGACATCCATGAGTACGGTAACCAAACCCGTGCCCAGCGCGAAGAATCACTATGGCTTCGTGTTGCTGAAATAGCAGCCAATGGAACGGTTTGTGGCCATGAAAGCTATCAAAATATGACTAGGAATATAATTCCAGAAAACTCGATCGAAAAGGCAGATTACTTGGTTATCAGTGAACAAGCCTACCGTATTATCACCATATATGTTCTCGCCAGTCTATGGACTTGTCGTGCTTGGTCCTTGTGTGAGTCTACGCAATCATGGCCATTTTGCACCGCTACAGTATGCTACCGTACGTTGCGCGACGTTAGAACGGACGCATCTTGGCGCGTGCAACTTTGGACGTAGTCCTTTTCACTTTTCACAAATAGCAAGTAAAGCAGATAAACCGGAGAATAGTCAAGCACTAAGATTACGGTAGCGTACTGTATAGGTGCAAAAGGGCCTCCAGCTCTATTTTTCTCTTTTTTCCAGGTTCTTTCGCCATCGCTCTTCTCTCCACTCCTTCTGAACCCAGCTGTCCTCTCACCGTACGTGCTCTCACCAGCTGTGGGGATGCCGTTCATCCTTTCCCCGTACCTCCTCTCCCCTTACGTTCTATCCCCGCTTGTTATGGCCCCTTTCATCCTTAACCCCTATATTCTTTCCCCAAATGTTATTAATCCATACGTTCTTTCACCCTTGATACTCAGTCCACTTGTTCTATGCCCTGATGTAATATCACCAATGGTTCTGGGTGGTTCCATACTTTCACCGGGTGTGCTTTCACCCTCAGTGCTTTCAAAGAGTTATTTGATGGTTTCTGTGCTTTCTCCGTCGTTGTTATCATAGCATTTATAATAACTGTAGTGATATCTAATAATTATAATGCAGGTTCATTACTACTATAAAGATTGAGTCAAAGAATTTGCCAACGTATAATTCACGGTTAACCAAAAGTTAAACACAATAGATGATATAGACGAAAAGGGATTTCAACAACAAAAAGTGGAATGACTTTGTCATCTTTCCTGCAAAGTAAATTTGCTTTACAGCAGTGCGGCGCGAAAATCGGAGGCACACATCTGGTACTCAAGTAGTACGATCGTAATTTCGGTAAAAATCTTATTCAGAATGTCTGTGGCAAACCTTACCTGGGGCAAAATGAGGTGCCTAAGGTGTGTCCCATGAGTCCTCCGCCGAAAACTCTGAATTCACTATAAGAATGTTGTGGACACTTTTCAACATCATTGTACATATCTCCTTTATTAATGAGCATTTGAATCCAGATTTCGCAGGAAAAATTGATATTTCTATTTGAGATAAATTTGAGAACAGAAAAAAATTCCAAGATTATGATTACTGGGATATCGCGTAATTTCTCTCGTCGTCCTCTTTGCGTTACGTTTTCAGAAAAACTGGTTTACATGATTTTAAGCCAGAATCTGGAAAAATTCCTGAATGCATGAAAACTTGTTTCGTCATTTTGAAAAATTGAATGTTACACTATAGCCTATACAAAATGTGAAAAGAGGCGACTCTCTGCAGATTATAAAAATCACGAGACATCCCAACACAGCCGTGCCTATCGATTAGCACAAGTGAAAAGAGTAGGTCACGAAAATAAAGAACCAAAATCAGTTCTTGAAATTCCTTGCAGAAATTCCCATTACCTGACTTTAAAAGTTTGCAATTCAAATGTTTCTCATTGAGAGCTCGTATCGCTGTCGTATGCCGAAAATATTTCACTCTGAACACCAGTAAAAGATATTGATTTATTCTTGCTGAAAAATAGCTAAACAATTGTGGTTGAAAGAATCAGGAACTTTCGGAGATTTTGTGCAATACTTGTGGAGCAACCTAATATTGCAAGCTTTTTTGTAACAAAGAACAGCTCACATCCAAAGGCAGAGGTAAAGGAAAAACAGTCTCCGATTTTTCGTATTTTTTATCTCAAGATTTTTTGCATTTTTTAGAGAGCGAGATTTTGTTTAAAACTGATTCTCACTGTACAGATAGTCTGAAATTTATGACCACAGCTGTCACCTCGTAACTCTACAAGTATGACGCAGCGATCCAGATTCAAAACACCTAAACCTCAATTTACAGCAGAAACGCAAATAAAATTCTGTTTATGTTTGCCGGTGAGGAGAATGAAAGTCGTCAAACGATGCACGTACTATTAAGAGAAATGGGGCGAACAATAAACATTCAGGGAACAACGTTCACTAGGAGCGCAATGCCAGAAGCAGATGCTTGCTCTGGCTGTGGTGACAATTCTCTTGTTATCCGAAATGGTAAGTTTACAGGTTTCACTTTTCTTTTTCCCTTTTTAGGATATCCATAGCGTGGGAAAAGGGCACATGGGCCTGCAGCTATGTTATTCCATGATTGAATCAAACAGTTCAAAAAGTTGGCTTGTCGTATTTCAGTCCAAGAAATGACCCTAAGGTTCCTTCCTAAATTTTTTACCCTTCTATTTCAGATCCGAGCTACAAGTAAAGATGCTGTACATGAGCATGAGAAACTGATCCTCGATAAGAAAGGACTCCAAAATATGAAAGAAGTTCATAAAAACTGGTACTTCTACTCGATAAAAGCCCTGCTTGGACAGCTTGGTAAAGAACTTCTTGGTAAATTGAACAGCGGTAAGTTTCCCGAATTTTTTTTTTGAATGAGATTCCTTCTGAGATTTACCTAAACTTTTTAATCTTATTGCTTTAGCTTCCCGGGAACGGTTGAAGTTGTGCCTGAAGCGTATTGTGTACACAAAGGATCTTCGAAAAACTGCAGCATGTCTGCTAAAGGCTCGGGAAAGATGGAAAAAATTTCTAAAATACAAAGGTGTAAAGTAAGTCTATTTCACTAACGGGAAAGTTTATGACTCAGGAAATACACTGCCGACCTCATTTTCACAATCCTTTGGAATGATCGACCTTCTCCATTTTTCTTCTTCTTCAGCTTGTAAACAGAACCTTCCATCTTCTGCGGAATTTCCATTTCGACAGATGAATCCCTGGAAAAAATTTTTTTGATATCATCTTCTTTTTTGAACCAATTCAATGCGACTGACACTTTTTATGAGTCATCTGCTAGCTGAATAGTCGCAAATTTCACACCCATGTTACTGAGCGGTAGGTTTACCCAGATCAGAGTTACTCATTTCACCTCGGGATACTTCTAAGACTTTTTCCCATATAATCGCGCCTGTCTTCAAAGTGATCGTAAATGGATGTATACCTAGAATTTCACCTCTCTCTAAATTAGCTGAAGCAATGATGAAGTCATATCCATAGCAAGATCCGTGATTCAGCTTGTAAAGTTACCGAAATATCTATTTCTGGGTCATCTAGTGCTTTACTGGACTCTTTTGCTTGAAGAATGTTTTTTTAATGGTAGATTAAAGAGAAAACTCTCCTAGCAATCTTAAAAATACTGTAAATCAAGGATTATTTGGGCCACTATCCACAAACTTCCTTCCTTTCAGAGAAGATGACGATTTTCCTTCAAAGGCTCTCCACCGAGGCCATGACCGAATACCTTCAAGATTCTCACATGCACTGCGTATTCGTAAGCTTCGCATGAGAAGATCGAAACGAAGTCCTAATCGTTTGATATTGCCAGATGATTTGAAGGATCATGAGCTTGTGGTAAGACACAGCTACTGCACTGTTAGAAACCAAAATTATTATGTTTTAGGTGAAATCTGCCAAGTTTGCGCCATCTCTAAAAGAACCCTCAAAAAGTCCAATCAATAAAGTAGCCGGTCTTTTCGTTTCCCTCTTTGGAAAGAGTAGTGCGAATGAATTGCCAGAAAAATGGTCTACCACCTACAAAAGTATCTTAAAGCTGTCTAAATACATCGACAAAAACGAAAATTCTCCCGGAACTCGTGTGTATAATACACGAATCTATGATCTCGTCATGGATGCGAAAGGGACAAAGCAAGGCAGTGAGGTGAGGATAGCAGTACATTTTTGACCCTTGCGCTTACCCATACAAGTAAGGCTTAATAGTTGAGCAAAGCTTGGTTTTGTACGCGATGTAGGTGTGCTGCATGCTTGTGTCCACTTTCACGGATTTAGAGGCACTGAAGCCGCATCGCGTAAGAGCGCAGTGTGGTCGTCGCACGTGTCATTGCCAGGGTCAAGCATGGGGTGTGGCACGCCACACCTGGGGGTCGTAGAGGGGTCAGGAAGAGGGGGGGTCGTTATCGAGGTGATAATGATGTTAGCGACATTATATCATTCAACAACGTCTGATAGGCCCATTGTACAAAATACCAGCACTGTTGTTTTAGCCTACCGTCGTGCACGCAGGGTAAGTGTATTATAAGAATGCTAAAAGCATAAGAGCACCATTTTCCTAATTAGCATGTCAAATAACCCCTGAGGGGCAAGTTTCAGCGAATTTTGAGGTTTTCAAAAATTGGAACACTCAAATGAGGTGGTCATTTTCGACATGATAACTTCGTTTCAAAGATGAGTAAACTACTTTTTTGCACTCATTATAAGGTACTACTACTTCTTTGCTCGTATTAGGAATCCCACTTTGATTAACCTCTAAACTCTGGAATTAAGCGCAAGCCAAAATCTCGTTTGCCCCATTTTTCGCTTCCAATTTCTTAGTCTAGAAAAGACCAATCAGGTTCAAATCACTTTTTTGAATGTTACGAGGATCAGGCTATCGAGCACACTTGCAGCACATCTTCTTCGCTCTAAGTAAAAGGTGGTGAAAGCGTAGCCATTCGAAGCCAAAATTAAAACACGAGATTTTGGCCTGCTTTTAATTCATAGTTTGATAGTTATTTGAAGCAGGATTCATGGTATGGGAAAATATGGAGTAGTGCTCTGTATTGAGTACAAAAAAAGTTAGCTAGTTTACTTCTGACATATAGTTAATCATCTTCGTAAATGTTCACTCCACTTGGGTGGTCCAATATTGTGAATCCTCAAAGTTTGCTAAAACTTGACCCATGGTGGTTATTTGACGATAATTACGAATATGTGGCTAATTATGCCTGGTAGAGCCTTTATGTCATGCCTACAGAAGAGAAGATGCTGGGGGGGGGGGGCTATTAAGACAGAAGATGGGTGGGGGAGGGGGTCGTATCCGGCGCTTGTGTGCCACACTTCTTGCTCGACCCTGGTCATTGCATCCACAATCACGCAAAAAATTTTTTGTCAAGAAATGCCAAGATTTCTTATCTCGTCCAGTACTCTTTGCAACTATGAATTTGAGATTTGCACTTTAAGAAATAGGATTCGTTTGACACTGCGCTTCTGAGTTGGAACTCTTAAGTCAGTCGTCTTAGTTTCAAATTTGAAATTTTGGTTAATTTTCTTGACAAAAAAATATCGGAAAAAAGAACTTACGCACTTTTCAACGCACGCAGCGAGAGCTGTTACTGAAATGCAGCATCGATCAAGCTGATCTAACAATTAGATCGTGAAGTTGTGGAGTCCGGATTATCGAAATGGTGGAAAGCTACAGTCGAGTAGATTTTCCGCTTAATGTGGTGTGCTTGCACAGAAGGTGAAATGCGGTAAATGCGCGTCAACAAATAGCTTTGACTGTGACTCCTGCCAACTGCGCGCGCCAAATGACGGCAATGCTGGGGTGGATATTTAATCACAAGCAGATTTCACCGAATTTCACCTTCTGTACACTATATTAAGCGGCAAATCTACTCCGCTGTAGCTTCTAAGAGTTTTTATAGCAGAATTTGCGGGTTATATCTTCACATTTTCTGCAAAGTTTAGTAAGATCTGTGAATTATTCTTTGATACAAGTGTTACAGGTCAACCTACCTCCTTTCCTGCAAAGTGCGTTTGATATAGTAAAATCATTCAATGGAGCAAAGAATGCGCGTGTTCTAAGCCCTCGATTCGCCCCTCTCCTTCCGGACAGAACTAGTACCAAAGGCTTCCTTTCACCTTCGATATTTCCGTTCTATAAGGATGACACAGAACAGCAGATTTTGCCAGTTCCAAAGGTAGAAAATTTCTCGAAATGGAAGGTCAGTCTAAACAAAGACGTTGCAGATGTTGGAGTCAGCTGGTATGAACGATAAAGACCGCGAGCGCTTGCTAGAGATGATAATGGAGGTGTCAGGAGCTCGCGACACAGTGGATAAAGCAATGAAGGCAAGTTCATGACTGTTCTGTGGGCATTTAGAACACTTTATGCTGCTACAGGATGTGTTTTCAGCTACTTTAGGTATTGAACAACTTGGGCCTCGATGACACCCTTCTCTCTGTGAACGAAAATGTGAGTTACAGAGTTTGCCTTCTTTCAAAATGCTAGCAGGGTATGGCAGGGGGAACGGCGCTGAACATTACTTTTGGGCAAAAAGCAATGAAGATCATGCAGGTTCATTTACTAGAAAAAATTTCATAATTTGATTTGGCCATTAGAATATTTCTTTGAAAGGCTGATCAATTTCACGCAAATCTCAAACAAGCAAATGCATCCACACCTCTTCTCCCACCTCGCCCCCTCTTGAGGCCCCCATTCTTCATTAATGTCTTAAGGTAAAATCTACCTTTCGATGATTTTTTCACTATTTATAGTAAGTACCCGCTTTCATCAAAGTATATTACGATAATTTCTCGAGGTTAGTTGTCCCTTTAAAAAGTTTTAGGGACCCGTCATACTTGTGTTTCGGCTCTTTCGGGCCTTTTTGGGCTTTTTCGGGCTTTTTCGACCTTCTTCGGGCTTTTTTGGGTTTTTCGGGCTTTTTTCGGCAAGTATGACGGGTCCCCTGTCAAATGAAAACTCGACGACCTCTAAAAAATCGGTATAAATAGAAAGAAACTTGGAAACAAGGCAAAGATCCAACAAAAAGATCTTGGTTTTAGATACAAAAACAGTCTACAATCAATTGTCGAATTATTGTAGCGTTTTTTCTTTTCTGTTTTGCTCCTCATCAAATTCATTTTTTTTTCTTTGAGCACCTCAGAGTATTCATTCACTATAAGCAAAGAAGTAATCTGGGCGGGGAAATGTTAGTGGTTCCAAATTCAAAGTGTGTGAAAGCCAACGATTTGTTATGTTGCTCTTTTGTAGTCTCAGCATATCTTAGGTACTTCATGGTTTCTAGATAAGAGTGTTCCAGTAACAACCTATCATGACCACTTATACTTGAAAAGTGAAATAATTCCGGTTTTGGGATTTTGATAGTACTACTTTTCAGCACATTTCATTAGCTTCGGTATGGCTGGAATGAACAGCAATAACCCATAAGAAAATTAATGGCTGCGCCGCTGCTTGTTGTTCTAAACTACCAAGCTAGAACAAGATCAGTTTAGATTTGTGAGGTATAAGTTATCAAAGTAGCAGTCTGACCCAAAAATGGAATCATTCGAGTGATTTCTGCCCTTAAAGTGGGGCAAAGCTATTTGCTCTAGAGATCATCACCTGTAAAATGGAGCAAAATTCTTCCGCTTCATGCTTTTATCCTCATTTTTCAAGATAGGAAAAGCATTCGAGCAACTGCAATCTTCGCTTTCTTTACGGCAAAGTTCTGAGTTAGACAAGAGAGGATTCACGTTTATGAACCCTAAACAAATCGACAAGTTACACGAAAAACAAAGTGAGTAATCTATGGTCTTTAAAAGTGCTGTCCGTTTGGTAATATTGGTTTTCTAGATGTGAGCGAACCAGAGGTTCTTGAACAAATGGAAAGCTATAAAAAGTTGCCCAAACATAAGCGTGAAGAGATGCTTTGGCGATCTATTGGAGAACTGGCTGGTTTGAGTGTAAGTTGCAGGGATCTTCTTAAACATAAAAACCTTTCTGATTTCAGCGACGACGCAGGAAAAGGCAAGCCAATCAAATTAATTTCATCACCACCTTGAGGCCAACAGTGCTCAGTCCTTATCAATTTGCTCCCGTATACGGTATCAGCATATTAGGCCCCGTAATACTTTCTCCTAATATTTTCGCACCACTGATTTTGAATCCCTCATTGTTTTCGCCATGGGTCTTGTCACCAGCATTTCCATTACCTTTCATCCTCTCGCCTTATGTGCTTACTCCATATGTACTATCTCCATTGGCTATGGCTCCTTTCGTTTTTTCTCCCTATGTGCTATCTCCAAATGTCATAAATCCATACGTGCTTTCGCCAGTCATACTCAGCCCGATTGTCGTATGTCCGGATATCTTGTCTCCAATGACGCTCGGCGGGATTATATTGTCTCCCAATATTCTTTCTCCATCGATATTATCGAAAAGTTACCTCATGACAAGTGTGCTTTCTCCATCGCTTCTTTCCTAATGGAGATGGTTGTTAGTATAATAGCTTATTGATTAGTAAAATAAATCTTTCTCGTTGCTTATCTTACAATGATGACGGTCAAATTTTACAATAATTACGGTCGGCATTTTTTGGTTTTTGATTTAATAAACTTGAGTGGACGTCGATCCACTCAAAGTTATCATAAATCATTCACACTAAAAGTATCGCCTTAATTCTACACATATCCCGATTTAGCTTGTGAAGTATACGCATAGATTCCAAATTCGAAGTAGATCAAACCAGGACTTCGGTTACCTTTCTATTATTGCTTTTATGTAAGCTTTGTTTGAAAATTTCACGCTAGGTGGTAGATGCACAAAAATATCATTTTCGATGTCGAATTCTAGCGAAGAAATAGAGGCATGGAAAAACTTTGGTTTCCTGCACGACTGGACAATTCTTCAAAGACTATGTATATCAGAAAAAACAATGGAGAAAGAACTGCACCTTGAGGTACGCCACTCGTACAGGTATGTCAATCAGAGGAATGGTCTTCTACTCGAACGTCATATATCTATTGTGTAGATATGATCTTAGCCTTTTCAAAAGGTTTCCATTCTCACCAAATTGCTCGAGTTTAAGCAATAGCAATCGATGATTTACTTTGTCAAATGCTTTAGATAAATCTATGTAAATGACATCGATAGATTTTCCTTTATTAAGGGCAAAACTCTAGTCAAAAATAGAATCAGCAACGTTGGTGGTAGTTGATGAATCGTAAATCCGTGTTGATAGGAGATATCATGTTGAATTTCCGAACCATGTAAGCATTTTGTCACGCAAAACGTTCTCCATCACTTTTACTGGTGTAAGTGTTAGACTGATAGGCTGAAATTCTGAGAGGAGGGAACATTGGAAACCTTAGATATAGCTGTCATTAATGCCTCCTTCCAGACTTGCGGCAGCTTTCCCAACACCATTGATATATCAAAAATATGTGCAAGGGGCTTACAGAGTGACGAAGCGCATTTTTTGAAAATGACTTGTGGGATACTTTCATACGCGTTAAAGAGTTTTTTAGTCTAATCAGAATCTTCCGAATTCTAAAGGGACTGAAATAGACGGTCGATAGGCAGTGACGGTAAGAAGGAGAAGTGGATAAAGAGAAGCCCGATTTCGTACTTCGATCGTCGAAGGAATAAAACAATTGTCCTAACGCTCGTGCTTTCTCGCTATCAGTGATATAAGTATTTCCTGCTTGATCAGTTATGCAAGATAGATGACGTTTGGTTTGCGTTTTTGATTTATAAATTGAAAAAAGAATCTCGATGAGCATCTTTTCGCCAATCTATGTTCTTGTTTGCTAAAAATCCTCTTAAGTTATTCAATATCTTCACATACTTTTTTGTACATCGAGTTCGACAAGGGGTCTATTAGAAAATAAAATAAGCGTTCTTTCTGTGCAAGAAGTTTTCTTATATGAGCTGGGCAGCTTCGATGCGGTTGATCTATATGTATTTGAAAGGCACATGTTTAGAAAATGCATTGTAGATACAATACCGCTCACATTTTTTGAAAAAAAAGACGCGAATGTATGGACATGTATGGACATGTACGGACATGTCCATACATGTACGGACATGTCCATACATGTATGGACATGTCCGTACATGTCCGTACATGTCCATACATGTATGGACATGTCCATACATCAGCGTCGCGTGGCCATATCTCGCTTCAGAGTGGATGAATTCTGAATCCAAAGTCACCATTCGATTCAGCTTGGCGCGAAGAATCCTCTGATATACTGGAAGTGGGAGTACGATGTCTTCGATATTCCGTTTCCAGTTTTTTTTTTCAATTTGTTCTGCGGAGGTCTTTTCGCGAGTATGTGAAGCAACGCCTACCCAACATAGAAGACTTTGCTGAGAACTATTCGATAATACTGTTCTTGTAGATTATTGTGCGCTAAAAATAGGCTCAGACTTCTTTCCAAAGGAGATAGAAGAGTTGGTGAATTTTGGAAAAATCATGCGTTTTTAAATTCTACTCGCCATAACTTCCTTGGGAATAAGTATATTTTGAATCCGAAAGCAGCGCCTTGCTCAGCTCATCAAGGCGAATCTTTCTATATACAGCATGTCCTTGATATTTCGATTTCAATATTCTTGAATTTTTCTGAGGACGTCTTTTCGCGAAGGTGTAATGCAGCGAGCATTGTCCCGAGCACATTTCAGCAAAGATCTTTCGATAGCACTTTTTCTGTAGATTATGATGTGCTAAATAGTAGTCGCAGGTTTCTTTTCAAAGGAAATAGAAGAGCTGGTGAATAGTGGAAAAATCTTGTCGTCCCAAATTCTACTCGCCATAGCCGCAGGATACGAAGCTATCTTGCTAAGCAGATGTGAGTTTCGAAATCAGCAGGTCGGATAACCCTTATGAGCAAGTTTTCCGAGATGTTCGGGTTATTTTATTTTTTCTCGTTTTCCGCTCCAGAAGCTCGCCGATGGATTTTGAAATGTTGATGATCCTGAATTGCAAGGAAACTTCGCTTATAGAGGTTTTCGAACACGCTCTTTACGAAAATCGTGGTCTTTGAGGATTACAGGGTCTTTTTGGAGAGATACGGTGAGGTGACTGTAACTGCATCACGGAAGTGCGTAACTTTGGCCGCACTTCTCGTGTATCTGTCAGAAACCTTGCCTGCTTGCTTTTCTAAGTCAAAACTACTAGGAACCGCGCTATCGAATGGTGCATTACTCGGCTCCAGTCTGTGAAATTCGCCGAGTTAAGAGCCTACGAAAACACGTCCTCATGAATTTTGCCCAAAATGTAAAGATCGCATATCTCGTCAAAATTCCTCCGTGAGCGCTTGTACAATGCGCTAATCAAATCCTTTATTTTTATTTATTTATTTACTTATTCTATACGCTCTTGGCGTTCCATACAATAGAATAGAAAGCAGACATTTATAGTCTAACCGCAACGATAGTGCATCATTAGTTTAGGTCTAATCTAGATAAAAATGTGATGAAAGCTTGTATTTGACTAGTACTCTGCGTTGATACCACTGCTT